AGATAGAGACATCAGATTATTAGCGTGCCTGTACAGCTTCTTACCAAAATGCAGGGACACTTCTATCTGCGTGCATTTCTGTTCTAGGTGCTCTCTCCATGCAGTCAGGCACACACTTCATAAGTGTTACAAGATGTGGAACCAACGTAAGTCTCTCAGAAGAGCTGTAGCATGTCGAGTAATTCATCCATCTTTAGGTTAAATATTCCTCTTTTGAGTACAGATGATGTAATTTGAATAGTGTGAATGTTGCCAAAATATCGTTTCCTACATGCAAAAGGATCAAATTTGTTCATTTCAGTCAAAATGAATAATTATGTTCTTACAGTAATACATTTTATTGCCGTTTTAAATACAGAACTTTTTTATTTATATTTAAATAAAAAACTAAAACACCAAAAAATGTCTAAGACACCATTTCTTGGTGTCTTAGCACCTTGTACATGGACACTGTATTTTTTTCTATTATTTTCTTTCTAATATTTCAGAACTGTAATAAGAGAGAACCTGATTTAGGAATTAATTGGGGTTTTTTTCTTTCCCTTTTCATTCCGATCTGGAGCAAGCACCTACACTCTTGGCTTTGCCTCAGGATAAACTATGCCTGTACTGACATTAATAGAAGGTGATGTGGAGGCAGTAAACTTGTAGTTAACAGAATTGACAAATCAATTAGATCCGCTTGTCTGGGATAATTTTACTAGTCTTTTCTGAGATACTAACAGGTTCTTCAAATATAAGCAAATTTTATTTTGGGAAGCAATCTTTTGATGTTTCCCCTGTGAAAAAGATGACAGAGTTTGGTCTAAAGTTTTTGAAAGTGCTGATGTTGAGTGCTCAGTTGCTGGGAAGGATTCCTGTCTTTAGGCAGTGTGATGTTCCATGAAAACAAAATTGATGCTTTTAATTTGTCAATTATTTTACTGTTAACTTTTTTTAATTCTTGAAGAGACCCTGGTAACTCTTTGTAGTTAGTCATCTAGAGCCTCTCTTGGAGGGCACTATTTTTAACAAGCTCTTTTCTGTGTAAAACACTACTGACCTTAAACACACCAATACTTTATCTCTTGCAATGCTAAAAGAAAGCTCTGTCACCATTACTAGAAACTGCCTAGATTGGCTTATAGTTGAAAGAACAAAACATGGAAGTTTTATTGTAATCTATAGTATTACTAAATATTTAGCAGATGTGCCTTTTGGGTAACAGGAAGGCCTGCCTGACCTACTTTCACTTTAATCACTGATGGGGTATTTCATGATTTGATGCTGGCAATGTTCAGCTATTACATTTCTGGTGTGAAAGCTGATTTTCTGAGTGTGGGTTGTCTTTTCTTTCTTTTTTTCTTGGAGGGATATTGGTGAGAAGAAAGCAGAAAAAAATCAATATAAAGGATTTTGTTTCTTCCTTTCAGGTCTTTTTAGTTCTGTCTTGAGGTATTGGTGTGTTGCTGCATTTATGGACTGCTGCAGCAGTAAGTAGCAAGCTCATTCACGTGACAGCCGGTCAGTATTCCTTCGCAGCGCATCTCATCAGCCCCTCTAATTTTTTCCAGAGTGTCTTTTTGTGAGAACCTGACTTTCTTCCAAGGAAACAACTATAATTCTGTTTTACAGTTGTAGGAATCTGCCAGTACCAATTAATATGTTCGTATTTTGCCTATTTACTTTTTTCTCGCCTCTTCTTTTTGTATTTTGTAGGGTATTTCTCTCACTGTGAAATAATTGCTGTATAGCATGTGCTCTGGCTCTTCTTGAAGTTTGTCAGCATATATACGAAGCAGTTCATAGGCAGTGTGTCCCAGTGGCTGCTTTTCCCCCTCTTGCATTTTTTAAGTTTCCTCTGTTTGCCAGTAGAGGTTTTGTGGCACAGATAAGATTTGTGGATGCTAACAAATAACATTACCCTTGGCTGCCTGCTGGTTGGTTTTCATTTAGCGTTGCAGGTCATCCGTTGAATGTACATGTAAAAATGATGGCTGTTGGTAAGCACATGGTGAGTTTTTAGTATGTGTTGGAAAAAGCCATGAACTCATCAGAGTGCTGAAGAGGCGACCTCCAACAGAACTGGGTAACTGGGGGGTGGGGAGAGTGGAGGCGGTTGACACTGATGTTAGGCAAGTTCACAGCTTTTGGCTTTGAAAACAGAGATGAGTTCTTCTGGAGCATTATCTGAAATGGACTGTTGCTAGATCCTCTTCTTCCCTTATTTCTGTCTCCAGTGGCAGATGTCTTAATTCCTGCATGAACTGTGATCAGGCAGGTAACAATCCAGCATTTTCTTCTAGAGGAAACAGGGCAGTTCGGACACTTTGCAGCTTGTCTCGAGCATGGAATGTATGAAGGCAAATATTCTGATGCTTGTGATGAAGAATGTTCCACACTGTCCACTGTGTTTGACTCTCCTCAAATTTCCTCCTAAATTCCTAGGCCTGTATAGCATAGATAATTTTTACAAGGAGGCCATAAATTCCATGCATTCAGGACATCTTGTTCGTACAACCTGTTCATAAAACTTGTTCATAAAAACGGTGGGAAGATTTAATAACTAAGTAGGTGGCCATTCCTTTGTAGAGCTATAGCTTCACATTTCACAGTTTCAGGACTTTACTGGTGTAATTTTGATCCCTTACGTAAACTGAGAAAATGTCCAAGCCCTTATAAACCCCTAAGATTCGGGTGGCAGCGAGAGGAAGGCTTACCCTGGGCTGGCTGCAGTAGTTCCTGTTCCAGCTGCTTCCTGCCACCACAGTAGGGTTGGCTCAGCTGTTTGTGCAGCATTTGCTGCAAATGTGTTTGTTTAAAAACAGATACTTTAAACAACCAAACATTGATGTCCTCTCAGTTTGTAAACTGGGGCCCTCTGTTTTGGTACTAACTGCAGTTTGAAATCAACGTAACTTCACCCTCAGAAAATAAGCTTTGTTTTAGCTGTACCTTCCTAGCAGAGTCTTACTGTTTCAGATAAAACCCCTTCCTGGAAGGGGGAAGTGGAAATTGGTTGGTATTCCTCACACCAGGTTGGTAAGAGGAAAGTTAAGCCTTGTTTTGTCCTGAAATCAAAAGCTGAAGTCTGGAAATTATTTTCTAATTGCTTTCCCCTCAAAGGTGGCAAAAGTCTTACTGTGTGGAAGAGCTTGGACTCAGTTTACGTTGCTGGTTGAGACTTCCAGACAGGCAGATTGTGTTCAGTGTGTGTAGCCACCCCCCAGAGCTGTTTGCAATGCGGCAAAAGAGTTGTTGCTTTGCGTCTGTCAACACTTCTTACCCTGTTCCTCCTTCTGCTCTCTAACTGGAGCAGTTACCAGAAGTTCTCAGGTGCTTGTGGTCTGAATATTTCTTCACAGTGAGCAAATGTGCTGGTATCGATCAGGGAAGCAGTTAAAGATTAAAAATGTTCACGTTGCTGAAAATTGAACACAAACTTTTTTATTGCATGTGGGAGCAAAAAAGGGACTTCTGTATTCTTCTGAAACTGTGGTGAAATTTATAGAAAATTGGAATGAGCCAAGAATGGGTAGAGTTTTAAAAATTATAACCTGTAACAGAATGTCAAAGAAATGGATTTTAGTTAAATCTGGAAAAATGCTAAGGCAAGGCCTGAAAAAGTGTTCCACCAGAGATAGTTGTTTGCCAGCTCTGTGTAACAGAACTTAGATGTTCACTGGGAAAAGGAAATAAAAATTGCCTTGATTTGCGGGAAAGGAGGTGAGATAGTTGGGACAAGTGAATTAAGGATCTTGTGGAGTTGTTTTTGTTACTGGTAGATGAATGCATTAAGGATACATTAAATGTTGTAGCAGGCTGACTGCAGCACTTCTTAAATAATAAGACTGGAGAGTAGTCTTAGAAACCTTCTTAATTTGCTTTCTTACTTTTCTGCTCTTGAAACACTGTGAGGAAAGAAACTGAGACAAGAAGGGTTTGTGCAAGGCGACCCGTCTTCTGTAAAAGCTCACATCTGCTATATCTTACATGGTGAGTGCAAAACTCACTTTGTCCACACCTTTAGGTCCTCTACTGTTAGCATCTGTGATGTCAAGAGCGTTTGTGAGAGGGGACGAGGCCTAGTGGTGACCGCAGGCAGCTGTGTAGTTCCTCTCTTATCCCTTGGACCCAATGCAGGGACGTCTGTCCAGTGAGTGCCTTGGAGCAGACATCAGTGCCGTAATGTGGCCAGATGCGTGAATCTTGCTTGTTGGGTGTCTGTGTTAACAGGCCCTGATGAATGGACTCGTTAAGGATGAGTTGGTTTACATGTTAAATTAGTAACTTCATTTCACTGAAATTATTTAGATGTGTAAAACATCTGCATGTGTCTCTTGGGATTGAGGGAGGGGCTTGCAGATTGAGCTGCAGTGGTTCAGAAAGTTTCTGGCAGCATCTTAACTCTGGTCTTTTGTTGGAGCTTGTTGCTGTCAGAAGTCGTTCAGCAGAAGGGGCTGGATGTGGATGCCCACAAAGCCCCAGGTACTGCGGCCGCTGCCTGCCTGAATCCTTCCAACTCCTCACGTGGTCTCTCTCAGGTGTCTTCATCAATTTTGTTGTTGGTAACTTTTTTCTGCCATCTGTAAAGGCATAAAATAAAACCAGGCTCAAAACTGAAATTCTCCATTAGGTTTTGTGAGCATTTGGTGCTCACTGTGTTTCGTTATAGTAGGCTACTGTGTTTGCTGTATTTTATTCTATTTTTTTGTAATGAAACATACTGCAATTTCCTCTCCCTATGACAAGAAGCAGAGGGTCAGTAGTTTAAGCAAAGGCTCAATGTTTGTTACCTGGTTTAGGGAGATCTAGTTAATTATGTTGCTTAGTTTTAAAAGGAGGAAAAGAGATCACTTGATCAGTCAGCAAGACCACATGACAAGCAGCTGAATGTAATTAGGTGGGTAGGGTGGTTGTGTGGGGCTGGCAGCTTTGCATGTCAGTGTGAATTTCAGAGCTATTATTCTGAACTACACTATTTTGTTTTTATTTTCCTTCTCTGTTGATACTACCTGTAGATGAGAAACAGCTCTTTTTGCGTGACTATGGTATTCAAGAGATCTGAACTGCGTCAGGAAACTCATCACTGAAGTACCCTTGGAAAACTACAGATCCATTTGCAGCTGTTAAGCATAGGTATGTAAACACTTTCTCTTTTTTATTTATTTTCGTAAGATTTATTACGTTGTTTTCCTTGAGCTGACAGTTGTTGTATGCCAGCTGTTAAGAGCTTTGAAACAATGTTGCCGTACTTTTGACAAATTGCCTGAAATATTTTGATTTTGAGAGACAGTTCAGCATTGCTGCATCCTCATGTTCTAGAGGGAAAAGTAAACTTAAAACTGGGAAGTATACTGGCTTATGTAAAACATAGGCTTTGGGTTTAATTGACAAAACTGCAGCTCTCTGGTACGTCTTTGGTCATTGCTTTTCGCAAAGGAATTGGTCAGATTTAAAGACAAAGCTGGATAAATTTATCAGTAAGATTAAAATAAACGACTGCACTGACCAGTGTCTGGATTGAGTAACCATAAGATGCCCTTTCTGGTCCCAGGTCATCAGCCTACATTTCCTTCTGTGTTAAGTCAAACTTGTTCTACAGTTAGAAGGTGGAATTAGACCTTTGATAGTGAAGTGTACTGCGCAAATAACGTTTCATAATACAGAACAAAGTAACTCAGTATTTTTAAATGTTGTACTGCTTGAGCTTTTTCCTCCCTCTATTTATTTCTGTGTTCTTATTAACATATAAAGATAAATTATACTTAATAAAACAGTCCTCTAGAATGGTGGGGTTTTTAACTGGGTTGCGCACCAACATGTTTGTTCTCATGTATACTAAATGTATTGATGATAAAAGGAATAAAAATGGTGTGTTGCACAGTCTGATTTTGCTATTTTTGATTAGCAAAAGAAATTGGACTGCAAGGAACCATGAGAGCTCATCTAGTTCACATTCCTTGTTCAGTCATATAGTAATGGTTTCAATCTTAAAATTAATTATGGTAAAGGCAATATGGTGGTGGGATGTTATCGCTGTGTTTTGTATCTTCTCTGGAAGAAACTCAAAATGTATGTGCCCATCTGACTAGGTCATTCCTTGCCACCCCAAGCATGAATTTGTAATCAGGCATCCTTTCTAGCCCATGTGTTTGCCAGCATTTTTCTAATTGTGAACCAAAACTCTGGTTTTGGTAGACTGTAAGTAACTACGGAGGAGTTGTTCAGAGAACAGAAAATAGTATTCTCCTCCACTTCTGTGGGAAGGTCACAAGGCTTTCCCAGGGTTTTAACTGATGTCTAGCATAGCGTATCTTAAGATGATTTTGCTAGTCCTGATCATCACCGCTTGACTTGTGTTTATGAGAAAGAAGTGACAAATTCATAAATGTAGTTAAATAAATATATTTTCTTACTGCTTCCTTACAGACATCCTCAGTGTATGAAAAAGCTTATATAAAATAACTGGGAGGAAGGATTTTTGTAAACATTGATGCTTGGCTTGGTGTTTTTTTCCTGTGCTGAATGGATTGGTTGTCATAGTTGCCTCATTGTAATTTACTGTTATATAATGCTTTTCAATTACTGCATTACATGTGCATTTTGAATGTGTGTTACAGAAAAAATTTCTAGCACATTTTAGGGTAGTGATTTCTAATAGCCTAAGTTATTTGAGGATTACATTTTGATAATGTTGGGATTCTGTTGTATAGAGCAAAACAATATTCTTGCATGTGGTGCTGCCCCCCTTTCCTTCACTATACTCCCAGTGGGTTTTGGTGTAGTTGCTCTTTTCCAGCATGTCTTTCGTTTACAACACTATCTTAAACAAAACACCCTTAGTAATTAAGCCTGGTAAAGACAAACTAGGAATCTAATTCAGCTGGAATTCTTTAAACATGTCACTAAGAATGGCATCAAAGAGAAATTGTTTGGGTTTTTTTTTGCCTTAAAAAAATAATTGAAAAAAAGACCAACAAAAATTCTGAAACTATATAAAATTTAAAAAATGAACTCAAAAAAATCTTAAAAGCAGTTAATGGAAAAAGACCTCGAACATATCCTGGTGGAATGAGGGAAATAAGCTCTAGTCAAAGGAGAGTAGAAATAACTTTTTAAGGAGAAAAAGTTGAGTAACTTTTCTTTGGTCTAAAATATTTGGCTTCATGACTAGGAAATAATATAGCTCCTGCTTCTGAATTTTGTTTAAACACTGTGTCATAGGGATAAAGTTTCTTTACAAAAATTCAGTTTTGATGCATTATGGTGCAACTGTTGGTATCAACAAAAGCAGAACTAGGATCTTGGTGAGGTGAGAATACTCTGGGAATGAGTGGGTTGATCTATGTTAGTGTAGCTCCACTATAGGCACTGTAGCTGTACTGATTAGTGCTAACTGAGATTTTCTTTTTTTCACATGCTGAATTTGTTTTTACTGGAATCTCATTACTGGATTTTTATTTCCTTCTATAGGAAATCATATGCACTGGTTTAAAATCAAACCAAACACTGCAAGCCAAAGTCAGTCTTTTAATAGAAGATGAAACAGCAGCGCCTACTTTAATAAGTCTTTTCAAATAGAAACTCTCGTTGGACAGTACCATTGCATACTCCCAGTTTCTTGTGACTTGTGCACAGAAGCGCGTAGCTGAATAATTCTTTCATATCTACTTACCCTTTATATCCCATTTTTCATTTCAGAGGTTTGATGCCTTTCTCAGTCATAATGTAGAATGTAAAAAATTGCAAATCATTATATGAAGTTGGTTTGTTAGTTTGCGTGAGATTTTCGGATTCTTTACAAGTATGCAAAGTTTTAGTGTTAAGTCAAGAAAGCAGTCTGAATCCACTGTGGTATGGAAACTACATATGTGTTTTCTTGACGCAGCTTTCTACAGGGTACTTGCACTGCTTGGATCAATTAGAGCAGTCTGACTGGCAATTTATTTTCTTAGAATAATTTTGTGTATTTTTCTGGAACTTGGGTTATAGGGGTGGTTGTTCTGTAAGCTCGCTGCTGCTAAGCCATGTCTTAGCTATAGCAGAAACATTCTGAATAATAATTTTAATTGAAGACTTCTGAGGGGAGAGGTAGGAAATTGCCTGTTATTGTAGGTCAGTTAAAGTGAAACTTGAGGACACTCTATGTCTGCATGAAATGTTAAGAAAGAATTTTGCAGGAGGGCATCTACAGCATGAAAAGCTGGCAAGAGCTGCCAGGTTTCAGCCAGGGGTGTTACTCTACAGCCATCTGGGGGCCTTCCCTCAGTCTGGGAATAACAGATGAATAGTATGGGCAAACTGTGGCATTAGACTTGTGATTCTTTACGCTTTCCTTGCAGGGCTCATGCATACCTCCATGACAAGAATTAGTGTAAGAAATTCTAGTTTGCTGTGCCCTTTATCTGAGCAGTCTTTGCTGTATATCAAGATTTAACTATCATTCATGCTGGAATATGGAATTCTGATCAGAGTAGCAAGATAAATAGTGTTGGCAACTCAGGTTGAAAAACAGCAGGCTTTTTGAATGGAAGCTTTGTGTTGTGCAGTTCAGCCTGCTTAATCAGTGCTCCTTTTGAATTATCCCTTCCCTGAGGCTCTAGAAAAGAAGCCGTGCTAGGAGACGAATTGAAGCAAACGTTTTGCCAAAGCACCGTCTGAATATTTTGGCACACTGCAGAGCCTCAATAGAAAGCTTGGACAGTGTTAATACATGCTGCAGTTCTGGAGCTGTTCAAGTGGAAGATTCAGTGACTTATTGAAAGTATGGGCTTATTTTTCAATTCTTGCGGGGGGGAAAAAAACCCAAACCCCTGTAGTTTTAGCTTTGCTTTGTTAGAAGAGTTGAAGAGTGATACTTTTGAGCCGTAAGTGTGCTCCAAAATGACTGTCTTGCTGTCACAGATCAAGATTTCTCCTTTGCTGTCACACGTTCGTAACTTCCTGAAGAGAACAGGTTGTGGCCTATTGAATACTGCCTGGCTCTATTTCAGACAGAAGTGGTGTTTTATTATGTAATGGACAAGTTAAATTATGCCCAGAGTATTCTCAGCAAGTTATTTCTGACCTTTCATAGCATTTATGAAACATGGAAGCATCACATATGCTTACTATTTCCAGACACGTTTACTAAAAAATCCTGCCCAGTACTGGCTGAAAATATCTCTCTGACTGTAGCTATTACTGACTCTGAAATCAAAGGCTCATTCTCTTTTTGAGACCTCTTAAGAGCAGATTATTCACGACTCACCTCTCTTTCCATTTCTTTGAAGTGTCGTGCTGCCAGCCTGCAGTGCTCTGACTGTCTCCACATTGCAGTGGTTGCCAGCATGATCTGAAGTAGACCCAGTGAGCTTGGCACCTGCAAGGATGCTTCTGTCAAGATTTTATGATTTTTTAAAAGTTTGGGAGAGGTGAATGCTATCTGTGAGCCTCAGTTTTATCAATTTAGATATATCCTTCCATCTCCGTCCATGTGCACCACTTCCCTGCTTAGCATCTCTGACTGTCCATTGTATTTCAAGTCTAACCACATTGGATTCAAGATTAAGGAGTAGAAGAAATAACCTTTTCTAGTTACTAGACAGGGTTTTTCTCAACTGACAGTTTCTCTTGTTTTCCCACAGGTAACTATACATTTATTTTGCCCTTTTTGCTAGATCAGTTTAAGAAACCCTTCTGATTAAATATTTCCACAAATAACTTATTCCTAATGTCATGCCTGCTATTCATAGATAATAGGTATTTTCCAGCTCATTAGAAATGGATATTGATTAATTGTTCAGTCAATAACTTTGATAACCAGTAAGTTTTCTGAGGAACATGATGTTTTCACTGGTGGCTGGAAGTGTGATCTGACACATCAGTCCTGCTCCAAAAGGCTATTGTGCCTTGCAGTTAGCTGTTTTCATTTGGCAGGTGTAGACAGACTAACTTCTTTCTGGTGGACTTAAAAATCTTCAGATATTTCAATGTCATCCAAGTAATGAGAAAACTTCTAACTTCCCAAGGAATAAATAGCCAGAACAAAATGTAGGAAATGCCATATACTGTGTCCCCTGTTATTTATGGTTGAACTAAATCAAGTAACTTGCACCAAAAATAAGGACAGTTCACAATATTATAGAAAAGTAGTAATGCTAAAGAATGGTAGCAGCTGCAAAAAAGAGTAACTTTTGTTGCATCTTCCAATCAAAAACCAGAGTTAGCAAGGAACAGAGTTTACCTGCTATGAAAAACAAGAGAAGCAGATATTTCCCAATCCAGAGGATGAAAAGGTGGATTAAGTTCTGTGCTGAAATTCTTTCCCGCCTCACCCCTTTGTACACTTGCCCACATCATGTTAGATGAATGATGCAGTGTTATTTTATAGTCCCATTTGTATCATATTTGTGTGGGTTTCACTTTTATCTAACAGTGGCTGGGAGGTATCTTCAGGTTGTCTGTTGCCTGACCTTCTCCATAGACTTTTAATTGACCTAATCATGATAACTTATTTTTGCCAGATTATTTCCCTCTAATGCAGAATGTATCTTATATCCTTCGTGAGCTTGGCGGTGTGACCTTTTGGAGAAGCATTATCCATATTCCAGGTATCTGTCCTACAAAACAAGGTGGAAGGCAGCTGAGAACTTTCCTGCCCTGGAAGAGAAAAAAAAGAATTTTTTTAAAGAAGCTGCAAATATTTTCCTCTGGCTGTTTACAGTATGTGCTTTAAGGGGCTTAAACAAAGAACGTGGCCTGACTAATGTGTATTGCAGCCTACTGAATCGCCCACAGGCAGAGCATAAAATGTAATACTTTCTTTAGCATGAGTACATGCACATGTTTTCCTGAGATGTCGCTTCATTTGTATTCTAACTGCACATATGAAATTGCTTCCTTTTTCAGTTTTTAGATTTTTTTACCTTTTGTTATTCCTTTTATTCTGCTTTTTCATGTATCTGCTTATTCTAGCTGTCTGCTGGAGATTTTTGTTATCTCCAGGAAAACCCAACCACTCCTTAAAGAAATGCTCAATTCTTATGATCCCGTGTGATTCTTATTATCTTCTCCTGTATTTTTCAGTGGCTATTTCTGAGGGCAGAAATAGAAGTGTATTCTTTTTTCCTTGCCCTTCTGGAGTTGGAAGTGTTGGTGAATGGGTGGGTGAGCAAACTTCTGGATATTTCCCTCCTGTGAATACGACCAGCTTTGTGGGTGAAATCCTGGTGGCTCCTGTGTTGATTGAAAGAGTTGGAAACTGTGTAAATCTATGTAAGACTGTCACTTATAATTTCTTGATACTGTCAAGGGCAGTATAGTACAGTATAGTGATGTGTTACCAATGTTAAGGTTAGGCTGTGGGTAAGCTATGAGCCGAGTCCCAAAGCGGTCAGAATTGTCACATCAAGGAAGGATGCTGGGCATTGCTCTGAATTTCCTGTTTGTAAGTTAGTGAAAAAGCATGGCACTTTAACTTGTAAGGCATTGTGGCTTAATGTATTTATTAGAGGAACAGTTGAATGGTTGAGGAAGGAGTAAGTAGAATGGAGCTGTTTTTTAAAAACAAGCACACACACAAAAAACTTATTTGCTTTATTTTTCCCAGTCTACTCTCGAGTTTATTCACGTGGTACAGATGTTTGCTTCACTGCTAGAACTTTAAAGCAACTTCTGATGAGAGTTCAAAGAAGTAACTTGGGAGGCGAAAGTCTCGTTCCCAGGAGGGGGACAGGTCCTCTCAGGGAGTTCAACTGTTTTCATCAGATACTGTTGCAAATCTTTATTTATGTGCAGTATTTTCTTACCGCGAAGTATGAAAATGTTAGAAACTGATGAGGGAAAAGAGATGGTGCTGTGCTTTTTGTGGAGAAGTTGAAACTGCACAGAGATCCTTCCGTATGGGTAATGTTGGAGCATCCCCTGCAACATGCCTGCTTTTATTTTCCATTTTTTTTCCAGTTCCATGCTGCCTTTCATTCCTTTATGTAACTGAGCCATTCTTTGAAATTCAGCCTCCTTTTCATTGGTTTGGTTATGCTGAAATGCAGATGTAGTTGCAAAACTAACTGTTGTTTCCTTTCTTGGCTTCTCCATTCCCAGTTTCCCCTGGCTGTCTGGAAACGAAAGCCAGAATCTGCTGTTTCCTTGCACAGCCTGTTGTGCAAGGTACTCGCCACATATGCAGAACCTGTTGCTTCACTTACCCTTTTGTGCCCCCTTTTATGGGTATGATCATGATTTTATGCCTGGCATCTCCCATTGTAACTCATTCTCAGAGTGCTTTGTGTGCCTGTCAGTTCTTGCTCTGCAAAATTCTGCAGTTCTAGCAATGCTGACAGCTGACAAAGTGTCCTAGAGCATCTCCAGCTGAGATGGAAGTGACATCAGCATTTGGAAACTAAAGCCTCGCAACCTATTTGGTTGCATGTATTTTTGCAGACTCCTATATGTATCCTGAGCACTCTTAAAATGGCTTAGATCCTTCCAAGAAAGAGGCAATCCTTAGACATTGATCCTCCAATTCCTTAGAATTCCTCTATAGTTGAAACTAAAAAGATCATAACAGTGAGATGTCAAGTAAAGCAATTGAAAGTAACCAAAAGATAAATGCTCAGAGCAACTGAATCTCTTCCCCTTCCTCTCCCAAATGAGTGGTATTTTCCTTCTTGTTATTTATGTTACAGAAGACTCCTGGAAGTTAAAGCAAGCCAGGTCATATATTTTCCTAAGAAAAAAAATAGCGCAACTCAGAATATTTCAGTGAAGTGCTTATTTATTAACTCTCTTCCCCCAGCATAGCAGTTACTTGAGTTTATAAAAAAATTGTTGTCATAATTTGTTTATATTACATTTATACATATCTGGCAGCTTTTAGCCAAAGGCACTTCTAATAAAGCGTTGACTAAGTAGGAACGTTGTTTAACTCTGTCCCTTGTTTTGGCAGAGCTGGCAAGTGTCTGAAGGTGACCAGTTTTGCAAGCATTAAGGTGCTACTGAAGCCTTAGAGCAGGGTGAGGCTGTTCGCTACGCTTCACCCACGCTAGGCAAGAATGTGGTTATTGCTTTGCTGTAGTGTGATGGGAGTGCTGGTACGACAGGATTAGTGAACGTATTCCTTTGAGGTCCAGATCACTTTCTCGGTGCTTCTGCTGTAACAGATCAGGTGATATATAAAACAGCTATTGAAGTTGTTTAAGTCTGTGTAGTGCCCTGGTGAGAAGCTTTTTTTAATATGAATTTACTTGCACTTGCAGAATGATCAAACCTGTACAAACGCATTATTACCATGTACTTGTATTTATACATTGTCCATCGAGAGACCTGCAAGTATTTTCCTTTTGTCAGTGTGGGATTTGGGCTCCTCTTCCCGCAGTGCCCATGTCAACTCTTTAAGCATGCAGCCTTAACTGCTTTTTAAGAATAAAGCCATATTTGGGGAAACCTTCATTTGAAAAGCATTTTTGAACTCTAGCATTGACTTTTTCACGGTATATTTACAAATATGGCTCGATTATATATGAGTACAGTGGAACCTTCTTAAGCAGATTCCAACTTTTTTGCCTATTACACACTGCTCTTGCTGCGATAGATGCCAAGGGATGTAACCCTTCGCTGCACTCCCTCCGTCCATTGAGGGCTGGATCTCCGTTGCAGGGGGAATATGCAGACTTCACTGCAGTTTGGCTCCTACCTCTAGGACACAGCCTAGTGAATGTCCCACTATTCCAGTGGGATCTGGTTCTCCCGAGCAAAGAAGGCAAGGCCAAGACACAGCTTGTCTGTCTTTTGTCTGTAAGATGTACCTGAAAGCTGAGTGACACTTGCAGAAGGTGGATGCTGTTAAAAGTTAACTAACTCTTGAGCATCTGCTGTCCATCCCCAAAAGCATAACATGATGAAATCCTGTGGTATCTTAAAATATGAATTAATTATTGGTCTACTGTCTGTGTTTTGGCAAATTCAAATTAGTTTGTCTCTTTATAGTTTTGTGGTATATCCTACCACGTTAGTCATTGGCTTTATGGCTGGCTGCACTGCAGATCTGGGATGTTGGGGTGATGTCTGAGTTTGTGTAGAGAGTCATTTCACTTGGTATGAGGGGGAAGAGTGGGTTGAGTCAAACAAATGGTTTTATTTGAGTAGTTTCATACAGAATAGTGGCTTTTTTGCTCTTGGGAGGGCTAGCTAGGTGGTGTAGTGTGGGGAGGACTCCTCCACCCCTAAAAAGCTTCCTCTTTTAAGTATGTATTGCTTCTCTGCAAAATGGGGTGGTGGTGCAGGTATGTTCTGAAGTCACGTGAGACGTAATACCTTATGTTCCAATTTTTGCCAGAGAATAATTTTTCTCTTCTTTGGTAAAGATGGCTTTCACCATGGTACCCGTGGGGCAGCGCGATGTTCTCAAGTCTGTACAAGAGAGAAAGAAAGAAAACAGCAGTTTGCATCAGACTGCTGTATCCTCCTTGCGCCTGAGAGAGAAGGATGTAAAGCTATGAACGGAACTGAACAGCTGTGATCCATATACTCCATCATTAATATATTTTTGTATGAAAACACTTGGTAGGAACAATGTAATTGTATTAAGGTGTGTGGGTGATTTAGCAGGTACTTTACATCTGCTTCTAGGTAGGTCATGCACAAATCTCTTCTGAAATGCTCTTTGCCTCTAGGAATAAATGGGACATGTGAACTGTGTAATTGCTTCCCAGCCATGCTGTCAGGCAGCACCCTCCTTAGACATGGAGACATGAGGCACACCTCTTTATCTCTGAGCACCCATCAACATGAATGCAAACAGGTGACACGTAAGCCTCTTGGCTGTGTGCTAAAGAGGTGGTGCTAGAAAAATACTCCTACTGGAAGTACTATCTCCAGTGTGCCCTAACTATTCCTTTAGCAGAGTTTGGGGTAAGTGGTATACTTTACTTTAAATTGATGTGCTTGAGGACTGTCTGATTAAGAGCACGTTCAGATTTCCTGAATTTTACACTCTGTGTGTGTGTACACATTTTTATTTGCAGCTCAGTGCTTTTTTTTTGGGGGGGGGGGAGGGCCTTGTGTTTTCATCTGTTCATCTCTCTGTGTCTTCTTCCTTCTTCCTTCTCCCCTCCATCAACTCTGTAGCAGCACAGGAGTTGCATGTTTTGTGCAAGGCCAGTTTGTTCAGAAAGCATATTCCCTATCCCCATACTGCACTGGGGAAATCCTGCATGCCAAGCCAATTTCCTTAATTTTTTCAGGAACAACACTGCCATAGTCTTGAATGTTTTATCACGCATTGGAATTGTGATATTTGTGTCCTGGAGGCAAAAATACAAGCCTTTTAACATTGATGCCTGTTAATGTGAAAGTACCTTGGACTGGGAAATCCACTGAACAAAAGCAGCACTTGCTTTGCAGAGCATCCCTTCTTGGCAAGCCACAATCTGGACGTGTGTGTGTATGTGGAGGCTTCAGAGTGGCAGCTGTATAGGCACAGCTTTAAGTGATGGCTGTGGGGGTCCTGTCAGCAATGGAAAAGGCCAGTGGAGTTTTCCCAGCGCTTGTTCATAGCCCCTGTCCATCTGCATGCTAGGCGAAGTGCAAAGCTAGAGCTGAATGGGATTCAAGGAGGGGTTTACAAAAGGCAAAAACCCTGGAGGGCTTGATGTGGAGCCTAAAACTGTGTCCGTCAGTGAATTTTTTCAGCCAAGGACTTCTTACTCTTAGAAGCAAGATTTGGGAATGATCATTCTATAATGAATTCAGTGTTTTTTCTTTTGGTGACCTGATGAATTCTAACTATCATAAATTTTTTCTGATATTTCCTTTTCTACCTCCCACTCTCCTTATAATGAGGTATAGAAATGTGGAAGGAAAGACTGCAAGGTGTGAAGCTATAAAGCCTAATTTTAAAAAAAGCCAAATTGGAAGGAAAAAATGGGATGGGTGTAAGGTAACAGGGCCATGACTTTTAAAAACTCCACAGCAGTTTTTGCTATGAATATACTTTGCTGTGAATATATTCTTATTTCTGTTGTGTGGAGCTGGATGTGTCTGGGCCCTAGGACTGCAGGTCTTGGAAGTAGAGGGTGGAGATCACTTTTCAAATATTTGTACAGGGAGGAGGACAAGGCTTGAAACTGCTATGAAAATAGCTCTCTGCATGTCTCCAAGGATAGGTTAACTGCAGGGTTTCACAAGAACCACTCCCTGGAGATATTTGAATAATAGATTGACATTATAGGGTGCAGTGAAAGGTGTGTGCATTTCAAAAGCCTAAGGAGAAAATTTCCTTCTCAAGCAAATCCTTTAGGAGGCATTTTTATGACCTTCCTGTGAAGGGCTCCTAGTCCTCTATCAGTCATTTGCAAATTGCATTTGTTACCAGCATATGGAGAATTGAGGTTTAAGTGGTCCGAATGATGTTGCGTATTTGTCCAAACAGATACTCTACAAGTCAGATAGGACACTAGGAATACGTTTAGGTTTTACTTCCCCAAGGTCCCCTTTCTGTTTTAACCAGAGCTTTCACCCAGCTCTGTCCAGTGGAAGGGTGCAGCTGAACTGTAACAGTTTCTTACAGCTCCAAGTAAGACCTGTAGCTCCCTTTCTTCCTCCACAAGGTCTTGCACTGGGCAGAAGATAAATTAGCTTTCTTACAACATAAATTAGCAGTGATTAGGTAGCACTATCATTTGTATCTTTTGTGAAAAGTATGTTCTATATACCTATAGCTAGCTAACAAAACAACAAGACAAGGCAAATACTTCTGTACAAGTGGGATAGCATAGTAAAAGACATGAAGCTAGCTTGTCTTTGTATAATATACTGGCCCTAAGATTTGCATTTAAGCCTTTTTAAGCAACAATTAATTTAGGGGTATTGAAGCTGAAAGAACATGTACTTGAGTAGTGGGGGAGCTTACACAGCCCTTTGCCCTTGGAGAACATCTGAGGGCAAAAGAAACACCATATAAGAGATGGAAGTCTAAATCAAATCCAGGCTTTAGTAAAAACCTCTTTGGTTGCTTTTTAAAATATTTTTCCCTTTCTTCTAGTGCATTTCAATGAAAAGACCCTTTGTAGAGCTACAAGGTAGGCGATCTGATTTTACTTTTTTTTTCCCCCTTCCCCAACAGGGGGGAGGATTTAAAAAATGAAACAAAAACCCCAAAACCCCTTTTGGTGGTATGTGTGAGTGTGTCTAATGGATCAGGGCTTTTAATTTCTTCTAAAAATGTCCTTATGTCAGTGTGTGGCTGCCTGTTCCACTTGCTCACTTGAATATACTGCTCCTTCAGACCTGCGTGGTGGATGCAGGCCTGCAGTTGCTGTCTGTTCATGTAAAAAGCTCACTGATAACTGTTACTGCGGGGTTTTTTGTTTCAATCTTTTACTCTGTTGCAAAACTTTGTATTAAAACGCAACAGTGAAAAGTGAATTAGTTGGCTGTGGTGTGGTAATGAATGTGAACTCTGTCACCTAAAACCCCTTTCCTGCAAGGTTTTACTGTCATTGAGGGCATAATGTAAAATATGCCTTGGCTGGGGAAAGGGAGACTTCAAAACTAGAAATGGCAAAAAAGTGTCAGATGCTTTCCATTGACTCTTCAGTTGGAGAGTATCTGGGTGTAAACCTGACCGTTATCTGCATTCGATCGTGGTAAGTCCAGCCATGGCTAAGTCAACTAATAACAGTTCTGTCTTGTAACCAAGAGCAGTACTAACATAGAGTTGAAGCTTTAAAGATAGTTACGGTTTTAGCTTAATGGTAGTGGTTCATGCCCACATACTTGAGATACCGAGTTTGTTACAAACATCCAGCTGTGAGCTGCTATGCAAGAAATGAATTGGTGTTTTGCCATTGATGCAAACAGTGTTGGACTTGAATAATTTTATCTAGTTCAAGCTACACATAGTTCCAAAAATACTTATTTGCAGTTGAAACAGCAGATTTTACTTTTTTTTTTAATTTTATTTCATCATCTATCTTATTTTTTGTATTTTGGTATCTATTTCCCTTCTTCATAAGAGGCAATTTAATGCCAGTTTTATGTTGCTTTTAGAATGGTTATTTTAGGCTTATCTTTTAATGTTCATTTTTTTGAAAACAACATAAGGCAGCTCTCTACTGTTTGTTTTGGGGGAAGAGAGGCTCAGTAGCTACTCAACAGGAAAGTACTAGTGCACTTACATTGTTCTTTCTAGTATATATGAAATTTGCCAGTGATTTTTGTAATACATTCTAGCTGTTACTGCACTTTGATCAGACTATATCTAATACGGTTATTTTTTCAAAGGCACAAAAAGGATAGAGAAAAATTTCTTAAATGTGTATGGGCCATGGGAAAATGTGTGTGGTGTTTAATGGCAATTCAGAATCAAGATTTAGTTTAAATGATTAACTAGCATCATGATAAAAACTTTTAAAACTTTGAAAATTGGTCCTCTAAACAAAACAAACAAACAAAAACCAACAACAAAATGTTGCTTGCTTATTTTTCTTCCTGGTATGAAAAACTTTTTCAAGACTGAAAAATAGCTATTAATATAAAATTATTGTAATTTTTATTTAAATATAGTGGGCACCCTGGAAAAAAATTGTTTTTGCATATCTTAATAATGTCACAGTGAATATGAGGTCAGAATTGCATTGCTGGTACATTTAAGTAGCTTTTGCCAGCTTCCACGCAGATTAAAAACAGTTCTGCAGTTCATGTTCCAGATATCTTGAATACTTTGACCTTGACTTTTTTCAGTCTTTCCTGAAGAAGTTAAAATTGTGTTGCCTTCTCTTTGTAATAAGAGGAATGTGATAAAATTAACTATGCATTTTTTCAGTCACAGCTGAATTTGGTATTGATAATTGGCATAATTCAGAGTTTAAGGTGAAACCAGTGTAAAAGAGTACAGAACTGGTCCCACTGCTGGATGCTTTGTAGTTCAAATAATGATTTGTATTTTAAACATTTGTCAAAAGAAGCCTTGGCAGAGTTGTTTACTAACTAATCCTTTTTGCTTTGCTTTTTAAGGTGTCTCCTGAATTCTCACTATGTCTGATGGGGACTATGACTACCTCATAAAATTTCTAGCACTCGGTGATTCTGGAGTAGGAAAGACCAGCCTTCTTTACCAATATACGGATGGCAAATTTAATTCCAAATTTATCACAACAGTGGGCATTGATTTTCGGGAAAAGAGAGTGGTGAGTTTTCGCAAACCGTGTGCTACTTTAAAATGGTATCTGTCTTGGTGAAGGCTAGAATCTGTTTTTTAAAAATCTAACCTGCCAATCCCTATGTGTAGGCATGCAATCAGTAGTTACTGTGTACTTAATCTTGTGACAAGGAAATTATCTCATTTTACCTGGTTATTTTTGTTGTTGTTGTGTGTTGTCCCTCCCCATTTCCCCCAAAGTTGAAGTAAGAAGAGCTGATTCTAAGCAACCACTTCTTACTCCTCAGCAAGCGTTGATGAGTGTATTTACTCTCAGTTGTGAACATAGTACCTGGAGTAGTACTTTTATTGTTGAGCTCCCTTCACAAGAAAGGATTGGGCTGTACTAAAAATGTTTTTGCTGTTTGTGAACTGGAATGGCTAGTGAACAAAGACTGCATTGTTGATTTTAAAACCGTTCTAAAACATGTGAATGAAATGGGATAGCATGATACATGGAGCTGATCTGGCTTCCTAAGCAGTTACCACTACCAGAGAATTGTGAAGAATAAGGTAGGTTTTTTGTTTTTAACCCCTGAATTGTTATTAAACTAGGCAAACGTACTTTTGACATGAAGCTGAGCACTGCATTATGATAACCAATTGGATGCTAGTCCTTACTGCAATGAGAAATTGAGTTGGCAGAAGTTTCTTTCATTCTTATGCAGAAGTATTAAATGCCTTTCAGTGTAGTCTGATGATTTCCCAAGTGTCCAGAAATCTGGATGTTGTGGAAGGAGTAAATATCTTAGTGAAATGCAAAACTGGTCTCTTTAATAAGTTAGTATTCCTTTTGTGGGATAGTAAACGTGGTGGGTTTACTTGATCAGCATATTTGGTAACTCAGGGTAAGAGTTAGGTTTCACAACCCAAATCATATAATCCACAAATTCAGCGAGTTTATGTGTCTCTAAAGATAATGTTTGTAACTCTGGTAGTCTTAGGTACAATGACAGTTGAAGGTAAAGAAGATGACCTAATATGAAGTGTTCTAAACAAGAAATGCATCTCTTTTTATCTGATCCTTCCAAAGCTAACAGATGCCCTTATTTATATTTTCATGCTGAGTAAACTCTTCAGCTTTTATTATTAGCATCCAATTTCTGCTTTTTAAGCTGTGATATGACAAGATCTACCCTCAGCTCTTTTTCAGCAATCTTTTGGCAGCTAAGAGGAGATGTCTTTATGAGTATATTCTGTTTGCTAATGAGGTTCTGTTAGTGGTACAAATTTATTGCCAGATTGAATGATGCAATTGTTGCTTTCTTATAATTACATTTTAATTTGAACACGATACAAGATAATAGCAAAAAATAGAAAATCAAAATACTAAAATTAAGCTTGCCTAATGAAACTTAATGGCCACTAAATATCTTTTGGAGTCCATAGTCTATTGGATACTGTTTTTCCAGTTTCACTTTTAACGTTATTTTTAAATATTCAGCTGGATGCAAAATTAAAATGTAACCCATATTACTTTTGTCTTATAAAGCAGTTGGGATCTTTGCATCGGCAATGCTAGTTTTGCTGCATTTAATGACTTTAAATGTCAGTTATTTTGTGTTCTATAGAGGCTGGACTGCTAACACTCAGTCTTGCAAATTTACCTTTTACAGGTGTATAGACCCAGTGGGCCAGATGGTGTTGCTGGCAGAGGACAGAGGATACATCTTCAGCTCTGGGATACTGCAGGGCAGGAAAGGTATGTTCCGCACCCCCCCTCCCTCCCCCCCAGCAAGTAAGGCAGTTGTTAGCAAGCTACATGCAAATGGAACCAAGTACATGAATTTTCTTTATTGATTGCTACATTTTAATTGTATGACTCAAGATGGGAAAGTGCGCTTTATTTTTAACAGCGATGGAAAGTTTCCTATGAATACCCGTTAAATTACAAATGTATTTTACAACTGTAGAACATTAAAACTGTAATGGTTGCTTTTTGTCTTTTGGAAACTTTCAGTTTATTTTTTCATGGCCAATGCATATAGATGTTTTTAAAGCTTTTCTTTTTTCAGTTTTCCTTAGATTTCTGTAAATATGTTGAGGTCTTGGGAAAGTCAGGTGAAATCACCTCAAAGGATTCTTTCCTATTTGTCTATCAAAAGACTAGCATCCTAGTGGTTGATAGTCTTAAAATCAAGAACTGATTTGTATAGGGGACAAATTTCTGTTTGAAGTTTGAATTTCATTCTTATTTTAATTTCTGAATCTTAATCAAGTCATGCTTTATAGTAGAAGACACTATCTAAAGCTCTCACGCTTGAGTGAAATGTCTTCTTGACTTCCTTAGGCCTTGATTAGGCCATAGTAATGTTAGCAATTCTTGTTATCCAGTCCCTACATCAGCAAAACAATTATGATGAATATTTCATTCTAGTTAATTCAGTCTTAAGTTACCTCAGTTTTATGACTGTATGCAATTATATTTTCAAAGTAACTTGTCAGATAAGCCAACTAATTTCACTTTGTTGGTCTAGGTTTCGTAGCTTGACAACGGCTTTCTTCAGAGATGCCATGGGGTTTCTTCTGCTCTTTGATCTGACAAATGAGCAAAGCTTTCTGAATGTCAGGAACTGGATAAGTATGGCATTTCTTTCTTCTTTCTTTTTTCTTTCTTTCTTTGCACACGCGGGGAGGGGGCTATGTTTATAAATACGGAGTCTCACTGAGAAATAGAACTGAAAATTCTGGGTTTTATACCTTTCTCAGTAAAAGAAAGTAAATGTTGCATTCATAACTGTAATAGCTGCTAGTGGTGGCTTCTAGTGCTTACCTGAAATTCAGCTTTGCCTACTGAACTTGAATCTTAACTTATATAAAAGCAAGCTGAGAGAACGTCATATCCCTGACTCTGGTGATATTCAGTAATTTAAGTGTGTGGAAAGCCTATGCAAAACTCTATTTTGACTCACCTAAAGCTTTGTCAGCAAAACTTAATGGAAGGCAAATGTTACTAGGCTGGTGTATCTAGGCAAAGGAGTTCCCAAACTGCATCATCCATCAGGAGAGGGAAGTATATCCTTTCCTGTCAGCTCGTTGAAGATGCTTGGTGAGCATAACTCCTCAAGCTACAAATACACAGCTTCTGTGCTAACTTTGTCAGGCTTCTGTTCCCCTGGCTTGTTCCCGGGCTTTTTCATTGGGTACATGATAGTGGATGTGCATCTGTTCTCTGGCTCCTCAGTGCAATAGCAGAAGTCCTGTGAGATAACAGAGAACGTACTTGTTTTCTGTCTTTCAAAGAGTCGTTTTCCTGAAGGACTTTGTGTCCCCTGAAATGTGGTAGTGTTCTTAGTGAGCTTTATGAGTGACAGTAAGTTGTGACCCCTATCCATGTTGTTGCTGTTAGGTCAGCTACAAATGCATGCATATTGTGAAAACCCTGACATTGTATTATGTGGAAACAAGAGTGATCTGGAAGACCAAAGAATGGTGAAAGAAGAAGAGGCTAAGGAACTTGCAGAAAAATATGGGTAAGTAACTTCCTTCCAGTTATTGCTGTGTTTAAAGCAGAATGAAATGTTTTCTGTAATGCCTTTGCTGTAGACTGAAAAGTTATTGTGAGAATAAGCGTTTTAGAATGCTTAACTGGCTGGTATGATATATGTTTTTTCTGTCAGAGATTAATGTTTTCTGCATTGCCTAAAAATTCATACTTAGTATTGCAGTAATCTTGCACTGGAGATTGGTTAATCTTCTTCTGTCCTTGGCAGTAAACAAAGTAAATTTTCACAAACATTCTGGAAAAGAGAATTTAGCTGGAGAGGCAGGTGAATGATGGGGGTCTAATTCTTTGCTCTTGCCTGTGCTGAGGCTTTCTGTGGGGCACAGAAAACCCAGATCTCTTACAAAGTGAAATCCAAAAGAGCATTTGGTGAGGTGATGAGTGTCACATCAGATTTTAGGGAAAACAAAAATAATACCAAGCAATGATATCCTAATTTACAAGTTGAGTTGTTTTACAAAAGTTTGTTGTAGGGTAGCCGTTGTCTTTGGCACGGCCATGGAAACATGTGGCCTCAGTTTCTTTGGGAGCCTTGGGACCCATTCACTGGTGTTTGGATAGTCTGCTTACAGAGTGCTGGGTTCCCACAGAAGAGCAGTTCTGGTCCAGACCACAGTTTCCTGTTCTCTGCCCCCTCCCCATTCAGTCTTCCCTCAACTGTTCAAGCAGTTTTGTTAGGACTGTAACTTAGGTGAATTCTTAGTGACTGTCGTGGTTTAACCTCAGTCGGCAACTAAGCACCACGCAGCCGCTCGCTCACTCCCTCCCCACCCGGTGGGATGGGGGAGAGAATTGGAAGAGCACAAGTTAGAAAAAGTCGTGGGTTGAGATAAAAACAGTTTAATAATTGAAATAAAATGATAATAATAATAATATGATAATAATAATACACAAAACAAGTGATGCACAGTACAATTGCTCACC